CCCCCCCCCCCCCGACGCCCGTGTTGGTTGATCTAATTGTAGTTGTCTGTGCTGCCCCCGATGGCTGCAGTCCGTTTCCTCCTCTATGGATCGTCTGTACCTCTTGTGGTGCTCTCGTCTGATCGCCTGGGCGCACCCGATTGCCCGTTGTATCGGAGTGGATATGACATTGTGGGATATGTCGTAAATCCGGAGGTGCCTGTGCCTGACATCCGGCGCACACTGTGACAAGTGACGGTACCTGTGGTCTATGTTGCCAATTCTGTTGTTGTCGTTGGGCCGTCTGCGGATTGTGGCCCCTCACCCCCATGCGGACGTCGATTCGCTAGTCGAGCCGTTGTGCGGAGCTGTGCTTCTTGTATATCCGGATTTAGTAGTTGCCGTAACATCTTAGCGTGGAAGGCTTGGCGATCTGCCGAAATACTCTCTGGCGTCGGCAACGATACCGACACCCGCGGCTTCGTTTGTGGTGTGCCGCAGTGCTACTTACTAGGCGATGGTGTCAGCGTCTGCGTGATAGGTGATTCATTCAGGGCCTCACGTACAAACTGTATATTCTGTCGCTGCGTCTGAAATGAGCCTCCCAAACGTGCCCGTCGGCTCGTCAAGGCTTCCTGACCATGAGGATCTCCTGCTGCTCGTGGCTGTCCAGGAATAAATTCCGGAAAATGTGGGATTTCCTTCGGAGAAGTTGATGGCTCATTATCCGAGACTACTATAGGAGACTGATATCCTATCCCCGGACGCTCAGCTCCTTGGCCTGCGATCGTAAATGATAAAGTCTCATCTTCCGACGATTCCCTTGGTTGCAGCTGGTTCAACCGTTGTTCATACTTCTCTAGTAGCTCCCGTTGCTGCCTCATCAACTGTTGGGCTGTTGACTGTCGATCTTTATCTTGCTTCGACTGTTGACGACATTGTTTCGGTCGTTTCAGTGGGCGTGCCTTCATAGTTGTCCGGCGATCGATTTCCTGACTTGCCTCCCTGAGTCTGCTGCTCGGTGTCTCCTCTTGTACCAGTCCGTCCTGTGGTGATACAGGTGAGGTGTTCGGCTGTTGCTGACTCGACAGAAACGCCTGTCGTAGGATCTCCTTATTTGCGTGGAATGCTGCGTCTGTCCGTGTACCCGATCTCCCCTTCACGATAGATGATTCGAATTCCTCGTGGAGTGCACCTTGGCTTGATTCCGGGCGCTTAGCACGACATGGTTCCAAGTCCTTACGTCCCCTAGATTCTGGTGCCAGCTGCTTTTGACGTCTACTTTGACGAAGTGATGGCATATTCGGTACTTGTATCTCTTGATCCTGTAAAATTCTGACCCTTCCCCCTGTCAACGTCCAGATTTTATATCCATAGTTCGCACATTTTCATACGTCTTACCACGTTTCTAGTTACTGTCGCCCTTAACCATATGACTCAGGTTGTTCTTTGTTGGTCCCGACCTTGATCTACTATTCACGTCTTACTCCTCGTATCTCGTGTTTACTCTCGGCCGCGATCCTTACTCTCATGTCGCGTGCCGACTCTCATCATCACTCTCGTAATTACTTGCACCTACTCCCTGACCAACTCTATTTTACTCTTGCCGTTCTCATCCGACACCACTTCCTCCGCTACTCACCGTTAAGCTACCTGCTTCTCCCTGATGCTGTCCTCTTCACCTGGTACTATGTACTATCTTTCATGTCGATACCTCATGTCGATACACACCATCTGTGATATTGTTTCGTATGGACCGCTCCTCAAGTATATACCGTAGTCCCTTTGCTGGCAACCCTTCTTCTCGAATTATACGCTACTACTACTGCTTCCTTAACGCATATGGTGTTTTTGCCCTGGTGTGTTGTCTCCATGTGCGTGCTGTTCCTAAGTAACCACCTTTCATGTGCCTCTATCTTAGCGTGCACACACCTATCACCCTTAAATATGTAGAGTCTAGATTCTCCTCTTAACACCTTATTCTAAGCATTGTTAGTCATACTGTTCCATATTCTATAATACCTATACTCTGCTTGTCTATCCATGTCTTGTCTATTTCACCAGACACTCTCTATTGTCTGATGTCCTAACCTACTGCTCATGTGTTCGAAGTTATCAGAGACTTACCAGCCTTAACACTTCTTCTTACCTTATCATAATCCGCTTTGTCGGGGTCTATGATCCCCGCCTTTGGATTATCCAACTTCCTCTGATTGTCTACCTTCGGGCTGTCGTCCTTGACACCTATGCTTGATGTCTCGTCGGTATTGTTTACCCTGTCTGGAGAATATCGCTGTTTCATGTACCGAGCCCTCTCTGGTATCCGCCTCTGCTGCTCATCCTCTAATGGTTCATCGTCCTCATAACTTAATCATTGTCTTTGGAAAATCCTTTGTATCTGTATCAACCTTCGGCGTATTGCCTGGTTTATATTTTGGTTTCGAGGTCCTCCATGCTCCCTTATTGGACCCGTCACATCTCTTATCCTCTGCGACTCTCTCTCTTCTACATCGTCATCACTACTGTTTGATAATAATGATGATATACTTGCCTCACTGCTGTATACTCCGCTATCCACCGATTCTCGGCTTATATCAACTCCGTGTCCTTTCATTATCGCCATGGGTGGGTTGTAGTAAGAAAGTCCCTGATAGGATTTATTTAGGATTAGGGGTTATTTGATATTTGGGTTTTATTAGAGACTACATTTTGAACTGGGTTTATCCAATCAGGTTAAAACTGATTAAAGGAAAACACATGACCAAAATGATAGTCACAGGATTTAGTTCAAGAAATGAACAACGTCTCCCCTTGTACGAGGGGAATACGTTGAGATAGAGTTATCCTCGACTACTTACTACATTTTCAACTGACTTAGATGTTGTACATTAATTGAACTATTCCTGAATAGGGGACAAAGTTAGTAGGGACTATAGGATCCCGTGTAAAAGTATAATATTTTTGTACACAACACAAAGAAGAGAGAGATGTCTCATGACATCAGAAACGGAAAGGACGGCCGTCAACATAGAGCAACCGTTAGTAGATGACACAGATAATGGCTTTATTAGGAGTCATACTAGTGATAGCATGCCAGCACTTCTACCAAACAACAGTAGTGCGTTTGAGGCGGAGACGAATAGAGAGACCTCAGAAATCCAGAGACAAGCCAGACGCATGGGACGATACAATCGTAGACTCCGGACGCACACTCGTCAACAAGTAGACCGCTTGAATGAGAGAATAGAGCGGATAGAGATTAGCGACGGAGTTATTAGCAGACAAAGGAAACTATGTATTGTCACAGAAGATGTTACGGTAGCCAACCGAACCGGAGGAAGTGATATATTAGAACAAACCCAAAGAGTGTGTACCTTTACATCGACATGGACACTCTGAACTACACCACATCAATAAACATCCGCACCGTTATGGGCACCAACACCTTCGCCAGAGCCGAGCCACACCAGGAAGGTTGAAGAGGACAAGGAAGAAGGATGGCAGATTACAGAAGACGAAGTGGAACACAGATAAGGGATAACAAAGATAAGTGTAAAAGTTGGAAGATCACCAAGACAACAAGGAATGTGGACGTACACGTCAATCAGGTACGTAAGAAACCGTCAAATAGGGATATATATGTAAGATGCGCCATGTATAGTACTCAAGTAACCTGGTGAAATAAGAAATAGTGGTCAGACATAATCGGAGTGGCAGTATGACATGGGTAAGAATTCACGGTAACATATATTCGTGCAAAGACGGTAACACGGATAGATGTGCATTGCAGCAAGTGTTAAACAGACAGGAAGTAAGTTGCACACACAGTAAGTACATACACCAATATAGAGCACAATAATGTGAAATAAGTTAGTACCAGAAGTGATGAACATGCAAGCAAGTGACATCAATGTGTGCGTGAACACGAAGCAATGGCAATGTGTGTGTGCGTTCAATATGGGTGTGCGCCGTCCAAGCGAGTTAGAAGAGACAAGTGCTTGCGTAAGCCCGGGATCCCAGACGAGAACGACGGGTGATATTGGCGGACAAACTGATTAGCTATGAGAGGTTAGAGGCGACAATCGTTGGGGGATTAGATGAGCTTTGAAAGGAGTGAAGAACACGTGCTTAGATGAGATGGAAGACGAATGTTGGGAGCAAAGAGTTACCGAGAGAGCAGTGGCACGTGAGCCAAGAGCAGGGGTCAGTTGGAAGAGTAAAAGAGCAACCACAACGAGACCCGGGATTAGCTTAAGGCACGATTGCCTATGCAGGGACAACGCCGATGCGTCGACACAACGAAATAGAGCAAGACGTAGACGATGTATGTACCGTCAACGGGGCTTCAGGTTATTCTAAACGCGATGACATGACTAAGCAGTGGACTACATAAGGCGGAAGAGAGGCAAAGATAACGTCACATCGTTTATTAATCGACAGACATAACTCAGGGCCACCATGACCAACATTAGACAGAGTCGACGACAACAATATCTGTCGCCAGAACAACGCGATTTACGATCGACGTTTACAACGCCTACAACGGGCGAAATCCCCGTCACCGAACAGTATCGAGTTCCGCATCAGAGGTGCGGACCAGACTCGTCACGGGGTAGGGTATACGTCGTCGGATCAGGAGGAGGATGATACACGACAGGAACCGTTATCGCTCCAGAGCTTTGCACAAGAACAACAACGAGCTACGCAGAACCCACACGGCAGGGAAGCGCTAGACATCCACCGAGATAATATGGAGACGTCTCTCCAGGCACAACGTCAGGGACAACAATTCGTGCAGAATGCTATGGGCGATAGTCTGATGGCACGTCGAATGCTCGAACGCACTCCGTCGTCTAGCTCAACAGATCACACCTCCTACTCCGGACAGTATAGTGGCTTACCGCCAGGCCTTGCATGCCCGGAGAAGAGCTATGTAGTGCAGTGGAGAAGAACGATTTGTGGTCAGAATACAAGTACTTAGATTTATTTGATTATTTTAGGTTTATTACAAGTTTTACAGTTTATCAGAATAATCTGATAAACTGAGTTTTAGGGTTTTGCTGGTTTTACAGCACATGACTAATGACTCATTTTAAGAGTCAGTCATTTTAGGATTACTGTTTATAATTATTAATAAATGAACAACGTCCCCCTCCCTGGGGAGGGAGAACGTTGAGATACAGTTATCTAGCGTATACTTACTACATTTTTAACTTACCATAGAAGTTGTTAGTTTATTAGTAATTACAGGGAAAGCTACAGAATAAGAACTAGTCAGTAGCTGGCACATATTTTTTGTTATAAGTATAACAATTGAAAGACGATACGCACAAAGAATGTCGCATCAAAAGGAACGATTTAGATTATCCGGTCGTTGTACTAACGACGTTTGGACAACGAGCATGAAGGAAGAGTCTACTAATACGGGTTAAACCGATGAGCGAACATTCCAATCAAGTAGAACATTAGCCAGGGTCAACAAGGAAGGTCTCAAGACGATCAAATGACGAAATCAGAGAATCAGCCAGAATCCACAGATAAGTAGTCATGTGTGAGTACAGGTAGGAAGGTTGTTTTCAGTGTGAGACAAGTACAAATCGAATTGCAAGTTAATGAGTTTAAATTATATTTAAGAAGTTGTTAAAAGAAAAGAAGAAGTTCTTTAGGATCCACAGTAGTAGAGATGGGAGATGTACATGGTTAGTGCCGACTCGGTTAATACTATGACGCAAAGAATCAGCGGCATACTATATTATTTTACAAAGTTTTAAGAATGGGAAAGGTAAAAGACACAACGATAAATATATATTAGGCAACACGTCAAAAGACTGCATAACGTGTCCTAAGGATGTGAGCAGACCAATGATTTAAGTAATAGGAAATGGAATGGCAAGACATGTGCATCTAATGGCATCTACACGCAACTAAGTAGGAGTTAGGATTCTAAAAGGGTTATTTATTGGGATTATGACTTATAAACGAATAGACCGGAGTGTTTATTTAGAATAGTTTACTTAAGATTTGGCTACGATAAGTACCGACGAAGTAAAGAAGAGATAACTATCCAGGTGAAGCCAACTACGACCAGAATTGCACATAGGGTGAATTAGATAAAATAGGTCGACGAAGGAGGATATAAGGAAGCACACAGAGACATAAGTAAGCATCTGTGAGTTATTAGGAGCATATAAGGGTGGGGGCGTACATAACACGAACGATGTAAGTAAATACATGGTTAAATTGTGAAAATGATATGCGAACACACTCAAATCACTAGAACTTCCAAATAAATCAGGTCAACGGAGAGGCTCAACAGTATGCACAGAAGGTGTGGTTGACGGCAGCTTAGTTTAGGAGTGCAATAACGAGCAATCGTTCTTAGATCGAGAAACATATTCCAACAACCGCAACAGCACATGACAAGGACATCACGGGTAAGAAGAGTAAACAGGAGCGATAGGGGAAGTTCCCAACAGGGTCCTGCGAATAGGCCGTCATTAGGTCGGAGCAGGAGCAGGCGAGGAGTAGACCAAGAAGTTGCTCCGACTATTGAAGCACCCAACCACATATTATTGTGGGATGGAGAGTAAGACAGCAGGTAGTGTTAGAGTAGATAGACTATCCACACTACTGATGTTGGTGAAGGAAATATAACAGTCACGAGGGAACCCACGAGCTCCTCGGAGATCGATGTCGAGACGTTATGTGTTTGAAGGATGAAATTTAGTAGAAAATGTATATTTATATTCAGTACTCTATCAGTTCATTCGCACACATTTCTAGTTCTCCATTGACAAACAACTCACCAACCATGTCCTACCCCCGCCAAAGTCGTAGACAGCAACTCTTGAATCCTGAGCGCCGCAAGGAAGATGATATCGACCGACGTGGAACTAAACGCCGTCAGTCCCATACGGAACGCTCCGCTCCGCACTCAGGTCAGGCTCTGGAGGGGCAACAACAGACACATCTTGGGGCTCCACACCCTGTTTCCGCGGACGACAAGCAGCCACCAACAGCAAACAAAGATGGACCTGTACAGTCTGACGAGGATGTCATATTCGAGGGTGAGACCAAGGAAGTGCCCGACCTGCGTGTAGACAGCAGTCAGACTTTTATTGGTGAACAGGTAGCCAGTAAAGGTTTGTCCTTTCGTTCGTCTCCGGGTACTCCAGGGGCCTTATCCCCCAGTAATGACCAACCACGCCTCCCACCTAACAAGCGGAGGCATCACCGGCGCCGTACCAACAACAAGGAAACGGCACGGGAACAATCGTCAGAAGCTCACGGAGCTGATGGCACACAGCAGTCTCTATCTTGGAAAAATACGAACAGAGGTTGCAGCGCATAAACGCCGGACGAACTACAATAGGGCCGGCCGCTAAGGGGAGATCTTCTGACGCACACGAACGGGTAGAGGCAGTACCAGAGGACGAAGACAACCCTACCTTCCGAATCCAAGGCTGTAAGCGTCCGTACCATGGACTCGGGTACAAATCTCCAGGGTCAGAAGACCGTTCAACCGAGGAGGAGGATACTCTGTCTGCCAGTGAGAACACACCAACTTTTCAAGAGTTCGCACACGAACAAGTATTAGCCAGACAGAACCCTCATGGTAAGGAGGCGGTGAAGAATAGACAGGATCGATTAAGTACGAACCTGCGCCAACAACAGCAACGCCAGTGGGGCGAGAAAGAAGCGCCCAGTGAATATGTACAGACACCTAAACGGCAAGAGAAGGAGACACCACTGCCTCCACCTACACCGGCTAGTATCGAGAAAAGCCGGCAGGCGCTACACGCACGGATACTACAATTAAGTGACGAGCTATGCCAAGCAATCGAGGAGAAAAACACGACTCGAGCTGAAGCTCTTCGGGGTGTAATTGAGACACTTCGAGCTACATTAGAGTCCCTACCAGTAGAGAAGCGTCCCGTACCTTCACCACGTACGTGGCCTGATTGGCCGTCGAACAGATACTACCTACATGATATTATGGAACGGGACACAAGAGGGGCTCTCCTCGAGGCGTTCAAGAACGCACAAATCGCAGGGTTGGACGAGAGTTGGAACCTTACATGGTTTCATAAGGTACTATCTTACTTCAAGGCGGAGAAGTCAACACTGGACTACATCCGCGACAATTCTGAACGGTTGAAGACATGGACACCTCAGCTACAGATCGAACAGATCTGTTCGCACGAAACACAAGCCACTGTCGACCAAGGGCCAAAGTCGGACCATGCACACTCCTC